ACAGCTCCGGTGCGCACCACAGATAACTCATCCACTAAATAGCATCAATAAGTGAACAAGATGTGGCTCAAAGTGAGTGACCCAACCCTAGCCTCTTCGCTCTCCCATTGCCTTCCTTCACGAATTTCATGATGTCCAAAATCTGCAATTTGAAGAGCCCAACGCGAGGTTATCAAGCAGTTCGTCGATTTCAAATTCCCATGCACTTTGAGCTCTGAGTCATGTATGTACACCATTCCCTGAACAGCTGCATGAGATAAGGAATCACAAATACGGAGAAAAACTACAAACATTGATAAGGTCTTCCACGAATGATGCTATATACAGATGATCAAGTTTGAACTCGCGATTTTGCAAAATATCCATCAAGGAGCCCTTAGCACAGAATTCACGGACAATGCATATCGAGTAGGGACAAACGATGATACCTGAAAACTCCAAATTTATTCATCCAATCAATCTTCAAACCTACAAGACTTACCCATGAAAGTGTTGATATTGGGATGGGTTAGTTGTCGCATAACCCTCATTTCTATCTTAGCCTGTCTAGTCAGTTCGCGAGGTTTACGTGAGAAAGTCAGTTCTGAATTAAGTTTCTTGAACCAGCAGATCTCGGAAATAGAACACAACTTATTCATTAATAAGGCTGAACCTTTGAGAACGGCCTTCAAATTTTTTAGATGTTTCCTTCCTTCAAACAAACTCAAACAATCAACATACCTTTCAGCGCAACAAGAGTTCCTTTGTAATAGGCGACACCTCTTAGCCCAGAACCCTTCTTCTCACCATCTTCTCCGGTGTACCAAGCGTGCTCGCCCATCTGAATACAGCACAATGAGGATTCTAGCTGTCATTTTGAAATCAGAAGTAAATCGCTTGCAGGTCTTGGTATGCTGATGTCAAAGATATCAATCTGCGAGACAATTGAACCGACGAAGTTATGAGCATTTTTCACCTGCGCAATACACATGACACTATAACCACCGTACCGAATTGGAAGATTTCGTCACGGGAAAGGGGGGGGGGAGGAAGAGGAGGACGGAGGGAGGGGAGGAGGGAGACAAGTGTCGAATGAGGAAGTATG